ACAACCTTTTGGTGGCAAGTTTTTAACAGAATTTTGCCCAAGCAGTGCGCGTATCAACTTTGGCCTCTAGTTTCCCTCAGTAAATGTTTGTTCTACTTCAGTGGAATGATTTCACTAATGTAGCTAAGTTTTGGGAAAAAGAATTATTCCCAGGTTGAAAAGTCGTAGTTGAGAACGTGACCAACTACATGCAAGTACCATCTGTTCACTTTCGAGCGATGGAGGGGCCTTAATAATTCGAACGCCACCTCAATTCGTTTATTAGCGAAGCTTTGAAAGATGTATTATTCCACCACTGATTAATAGAAGCATGCAACATTACCCAAGAGTGCCTCGCAAGCAGCGGTAACAAAAAGGGTAGATTCAGGCCTATCCTTAATCGAATCCTCACAGAGACATCAAAACACAACCAGTATTGCTCTACCCAGACAAAATAAAAATAATCGCGTGGTTTTAAAGAACACATACGTTACGCTCATACACATTGAGGGTGTATGAGACTATCAGCCCCCCAGATGTCGATGTGTCGTGGTCCCCCCGCCCAAACATGCCCGGGAATGGAGATACAGGGCCGTGAAACACGCTAATTCTTCCATGCTCCGCCCACTGCCTTTTTACGGCGCAGATTCCCGCCGTTCATAACATCCGTTGCAAGCGCGCCTGTCGCGTGCGGCTCCTTGGCACTTTGCCAAGTCCTTTAATTGCGCTCTCAAATACAAGTAAAACGCAATTTCCTGATGCGGATAACATTGGAGGTGCTACAAAATAAGAGCAGAAGATGATGACGAGGGTCAGAACCTAAAAGCGACTGTGCCACTTCTGCAACCCTCGGAGGCCACGTATTTCACGAAACATGAAAATAAAAACTAAAAACGGCATACTCGTTAGTTTAATACAAGCAAGACGCAATTTCCTGATGCGAATAAAATTTAAGGTGTTGCTCATGCTTCAAAATCCATGTACAAGGAGATGAAGATGACACAGGCTAGAAATGAAGCACAACGATGTAAATGTAAACAAAACAAAAATGAAAAAATCAAGGAAAGGCAAATTAGATAAACTGGCCTGTAAATTTCTACGATCCGGCGCCAAAGCCATAGAAATACTTAGAACAAACGAGTGGGACGCTTGGGCTGTTTTTATTTTCATGTTTTGTGGGAATGCGCGGCCCTTGATGGATACTGCAGATGCAGCCGAGTTGCTCTTGAGTTCTGCCCCTTGTCATCATCTTCTGCTCTTATTTTGTAGCACCTCCAATGTTATCCGCATCAGGAAATTGCGTTTTCCTTGTTGAGAGCGCAATTAAAGGACTTGGCAAAGTGCCAAGGAGCCGCACGCGACAGGCGCGCTTGCAACGGATGTTATGAACGGCGGGAATCTGCGCCGTAAAAAGGCAGTGGGCGGAGCATGGAAGAATTAGCGTGTTTCACGGCCCTGTATCTCCATTCCTGGGCATGTTTGGGCGGGGGGACCACGACACATCGACATCTGGGGGCTGATAGTCTCATACACCCTCAATGTGTATGAGCGTACTATGTGTCTTTAAGTAGTTTCAATGCCCGTGCTGATGTTAATTCGACGCACCCGCGACGCAGAGGGCCATTTTTAAAGGGCCGCTGCTCTTCGGTTACGACCCACACGGCGTATCGTGGCGGTAAACTGAGTTACCTTCCTATTGGCCCGCATACTATAACTCCAACGATAGGGAGACAAGATCAAGCTGACTCCGAAATTCTTGTACAAAAGAGGTATTACTTTTTGGCAATGACTTTACCGACTGGTCGTTAGTTAGACTCAAGTCCTCCTCATAAGCAACTCAGGAACGGAAGTTAGGGAGAATTATGATATCTCAAGGTTGGCCCTGAGGGACAGAAACTAAACTATACCAAACCGTTAAAACAGATCGAGAAGCGATTCAGTAGATATGAAATGTTTCAAAAGGGTCTTAATGTATATGGCCGTCTGAAATTAATGGGGGGTTTTTTTTTACAGCTCACAATTTGTGGTCTTTGTAGTTTGTTTGTTGTTTTCTCATGTATATTCCATAGGTAGAACTTAAATTGCCAAAACGAACATTCCACATCAGCGAGGGGGCGAAACAGGGTCGGACAAGCGTCGCGGTATTGCGCTGCTGGGGCGCGTTATCTTCGCGATTAGGTTCACGATACACGAGACATTCGTAGGAATGAGAACATCACTTGATTTGGAGGAAATGATACAATCGAGAGCTATGAAACCCTGAATACTTCAGATCAGGGAACTTTACAGGACTTCCTTCTAGTTTCCTGGAATCTCAGAAGTTTCCCACAGACACTTCTATACCCACGTTGCTAACCGTAACGATCAGTTTATCCTCGAATTTAAGGAAATTGCGATCACACCCGAACTCGTTTAGGGCGCCACATCACGAATGTCTGTGTTACAACACAATACTGATTTCCTGGAGCTTGTACATACTTAAAATGCACCGATGTTGAACAGTAATCCTATTGTACCCACTCACTTGCTCTAGCATTGGTGTTTCTAGGATTCTTGTTATCACATAGAGATAAAGATATAATTTCGTCGTCATTAGCCTGTCATTACTAAGGGTGGAGTACCACGCTCCTCCTCTTGCCAGCAGCTCCACCCTTCTGATACCCATTACCCTGAATCGGCACAAATTACATTTCCAAATTCCTTGTTTTTGTCATGAAGGCGGGGGGGTTTCTAACAAACTCAAGAAACAAAAAAAACCCGACATAATGGATCCAGTACGACAGGGCTTTGAAATCCATAGTACGCCACGTACATGTATAGCGCCTGTGAGTGCGTCTATGATTGTACCTCATGTCTAAGTGACTCCATGAATGGTCTGCGAACGGAGAAAGGAACATATGTGAAACTATTCATTCACCTTCTGAAATATCAAACACTGCATGTTTCAACTTCCAATTTTCATGTGAAATCCTTCATTCACCTTCTAAAATATCAAACACTGCATGTTTCAACTTCTAATTTCTATGTGAAATCCTTCATTCACCTTCTAAAGCATCAACAATGCCTGTTGAACTTCTAATTACCACGTGAATACCAGATCCGGCGACGATTTGCGGAGAGTTCTCGCATTCACGCGGAAATGGCGTACAAACGCGGCCTCACTGACGATAATGATAACGTGATCACTCTAGCACGTCACCATGAATTGCAAAATCCAAAGGAGCACTCAGCTGCTCCCGCCACATTCAAAGCGCTCCAGCGCAATGACCGCGACGCGACCGTTCGCCCCTCGCCGTGCGCTGATGTGAGAATGTTCTGCTTTGGGCATTAAAAGTTCTTGTGTATATACATGCACCGCATTTCCCCACACCTATCTTCGGCCAAGCTATTGGATCCCAGCCAAAGTGGCGACCTTACTAAGTTGGTATCGGAGCTCCGACTGAGTTATCTATGGACTTTGCAGTGTTGGCGACCCATGCCTTTACTGCGCTGGACTATCCTCTCCACTCATTGCTTCGCAGCAATATCCCTTGTATTCCCATGAAAGAGTTTTTTTTCATCCCATCGGAGTTTTTTCTTATACACTGTGATTTGCCTCGACTGTTGTAACTGACTGCCGATAATAAATTATAAATCGTAGATCAATATTTATACTTTTCCAGTCGCTGACGGCTGCCGGATGTTCGAAAACGCTAAGGCAGCGTTCAGACTTGTAGCGCTACAGCGTCGCGCTACAGCGGAGCGAAATCTGCTTTTCGAATTTGCCCCCTATCTCTGCCTGGATCACAGGAAAAAGATGCCGGTTTTCGAGGCATTCACAGCCAACAAAGCTTTGACAGTTTCTTGTACTTTTTTGGCCTAGGAGCGTAAAAATGGCCTTATCTCCCACAACAGGCACGCGAACACTGTCTGGTCACCAATGCGTTAACACAAGGCAAACAAGAAGTTCCTTTATGGTTCTTCTGTCTCCGGTAAAAAAAAATGCGTGCGTGTTTTTAGGTGGCGCGAGTACTCTTTGGGTGTTTTTTGCAGAAAATGCTCTTAATAGGACAGAAGGACACTGTTACGCTAAAAGCAGTACCAGAAAAATAGTGACTAATGGAGTAACTGTCAAGGATGGTCAGATAGTTACAGCTGTATCAGTCTCACCTTTCCGTGAATTTCTCAAGAAAACTCCAGCAACCTTCCCACTTTTCTCTGTAAGCAACTCTAATCATCCTAACGTTGGAAATTGCAGTACGTTGCGAAGCGGCGCCGTAGCGCTATTGCGTCAATAACGTTCAGTCCTCGTCTGACGCCGCTGAACTAATCGCATGGCGTCGCGAAAGATCAGTCGCTGACGTTCAGACAACACTGGAAAAGCCATAAGATGCACGTAGAAGAGGGCGCAGAGCAGCCATGAAAAATGACAAGTTGGAAGGAATGAGTTGTCTGTGTGGCTCAGAGAGTGTATACTCCCGTGACTCATGAATACTGCATGCACCACAAGTACACTGACGAAACATATTTATAATAATACCACCAAAAAATATGCACATACAGCCTGACAGATCGACCCTATTTCACGTTATACACGCATCATTAGGCATTTAAGGAGAACAATGGAACCTTAACGATGAACGCTCATGCTCTCATCGAAATTAAAACGATTCAATTGAAAACCGCGATCGCTTCTGAACTTAATAAAGACGAGTATTCGCCATACAATAAGATAATATTGATTGCCACAATAGTAATCTTATATCGCTCTCAATACTACAACACAGTAATTGAGCGTAATTTGACTTAGCCAGCACTGGAAGGACTTGTTTTAGTTAAACGGAAACTAATTAAGTGACATCATTAGAAAAAAACTCGGATTATTTTCTTGAAAATACTATGCTAGAATGACAAACTGTTGGTTAGTGCTGTGAGGTAAGAAAGCTCGAAAAGTAAATGTAACTGTAATTGGTTACTCAAGCTACTGGAAACTAGTTATAAACTACACTAGACAAATATGGCCACTATGACTAGTGAAATTACTAGTCATCAAGAGTAATATCACGGAACAGTTGTCCCATAGACTCATTGTGATAAATACGTCGAACAGCTTCACAAAGCATCAGAGAGATGTCGACGGTTTTGATCTTGTGACAGCGCATTTTCTGGACTTCATGAGGAACAGTGTTAGTCACGATAACCTGAAAAACACCTGAATAAGTAGTAAAGGCTTAAAGATAATTCAAGGGACAGTCAACAGTGACCCTAGGCCATGCCTATGTTTCCCATAGTCTGCGTCCCCTCAGCGAGATACTGTCCAATGAGCTTGCTCGACGCTAGTGAACTGGCACACAGGCAGAGAATGGGCGTGATCCAGAACAATCGAGGACGGGGGAAGCGGCGAGATTACGCGGCACTCCCAGTGGTTTGCCTACCGACCAAAATCGAGCCCCTAGGTGTCAGAACCACTATTTCGGCGAGAGGGTGCAGACAAACACAGGAGAGCGATGTTTACTACGAACAAATAACTGCTCAAGCAGTTTATGGCGACAAGTATTTTCTCAGTAGTCAGAATAAAGCAACAATAACAAGTCTATCGTCAACAACACTAGAAAGTAATCTGCGCATAAAAATTGAGCTATGTGGACTGGTCCCGAAAAAGCCTAGACGTCTATCCGTTCAAAGAATACAAAACTACTTGACAGTGCAATCCACGGTCGCACCCGGCAGTAAAAGTGATTATCATTTATTAACTGACGTTTGCTTTGCTGCTTGGACTGCGGCAGAGGGACCCAAAAGCATTTGTCGCTGTTGGGCTACCTGAGTTTTCTCAAGATCACTCCTCTCTTTCTCAATAATGTACGGCATGAACATAATAAGTGACGTTGTGGCACCGATCCAAACAGCTTGGCGAGCGATGTACCAAAGGGATTTTACTCCCCACACACTCCATGAGGCCCCATTCGTGATGGATTTCCGTAAAACCTTGTGGACTGGAACATCTCGGTGAGGACTCTCATAGCGCTCCATAATTTCTCTTCGAGTTTCATTCATCGGAAATCATCAAATCGTCTCCTAGCTCGAACCGCCATCTCAAACTGGTATTAAACCCAAGTTTCGTCGTCAGCGCCGCTGCGTGCCCCCCCCCCCTCGGCAACAACAGCGGTCTTGATTTCCTTCTATACACAGCTAGGCTCTAGCTCTCCCTTTTAGGTACATTCTTCACCTTTTCTGGGCCAAGCGAACGAACAGACTGAGGAACAAGGGTAGCGGTGTAACAACAAGGTTATACTGAGACCCCGTTAAGAAATGTTTGAAAAGGAAAAAAAAGTTAATTTGAATGAAAGTTCTCACCTGAGTGATCGGAGAAGCTTCAAGAAGTGCAGGAGCATCTGAGCTCAGTACACCATGTGTAGCTATCACATAGATCTTGTATGCTCCACGAGTTTTCAGTACCTCGGCAGCGGCCACAAACGATTGGGCATCGTCAATGATATCGTCCTGTAATGTTTCGAGCTTTCTTGACGAAAACTGAGCCGACAATAGAGCGGTGTGTCTTGACTCCAAGCAAGACAGAGTGAAGACAACCAGCACAACCACTAGGCTGCGTTCATACTTTGCGGCAGCGTCCACCAGCGTCTACCAGCGTCCACCAGCGACCACTAGCGTTCCGAGCGTCCGGCAGCGTCAGCGACTAGGAAAGTATAGATATCGATCTAGCGTCTGCCAGCGTCCACCAGCGTCTATCAGCGTCTCGAGGGCTACAGAAGTATAGGTATCGATCTAGCGTCTGCCAGCGTCCACCAGCGTTCACCAGCGACCGGGAGTAGAGAGTATGGGGAAGTAGGAGGGTAGCAAACAGCTGGATTAGGCGTCGTGAAATTGCGGCGTGTGCAACCGCACCGCACAACTGCTAAAGCACAGAATTATGCAATTTAATGTACGGTGTAGTGTAGTTGTACGGTGCACACGCCACACTTTCACTACGCCTAAACCAGCTGTTTGTATCCTCTACTTCCTCCTAATCCCGACTCCCAGCTGGTGAACGCTGGTAGACGCTAGATCGATATCTATACTTTCCTAGTCGCTGACGCTGCGGACGCTCGAACGCTAGTGGTCGCTGGTGGACGCTGCCGCAAAGTATGAACGCAGCCCTGTAGAACAACGTTAGCCCTTTATCCAGCACTGTGGAGGGGTCACTTGACTGCCTGAGCTTCTTGGCATGGTCCAGCAGCGAAAGGAGGGAGCGCAGACAGATAAAGGAAGCGGCTGTGGAAGCATCGGAAAGTGGAACATGTGATAGAAAAGAACCAACTCCTGTTTGTTAGTCCTTTTGTCATGTCAGAAAGTTGAATTAGGCAAGGTCATAGACTTTCTAGTAGAGAGAGAGAGCACAGACGAGAGCAGAACGTTTATGAGGTCACAGGATAGAACACAAGCAGTCCTCAGACGAATAAGAGTTTAGCTTTTCTACTAATGTAGCGCGCTCAGGGGCATCAATCGGTGGGAAGGCCACCCTGACCGCTTTCCAATCCACGCCCCCTCACATACCCACTTTGCTCTCCAGGGCTAAAGACTGTACGAAGGAGAACGTACAGTCTTGTTCGCTGGATGGATGGGGCGGTGCCTGTGGGGGAGCGACGATTTGGCGCAGCACCAGCCGTTTTTTAGGTTGTTTTTTTTCCCTACGGCAGAATGTGGTAATTTTTGTGCCGCATCAGTCGGATTGCACCAGTAATTTGTCGCTTACCCACTTTAACAGCTAGAGAAGGACGGTTTGCGGCGCGCCAAACTCAGTCGCACTGACACGCCCCTCCATCCGCAGCGAACAAGACTGCAATAACAGTATTCACTTACCACCATTATAGCGATACGTCCGCCAACATCTCCGACAACAGTCAAAGGAGGTTTTTGTTTTGGTTCCTGGGCTAAAATCATAACCATGTTAGGTAATCAACCACTAGCAAATTACTTATGAGACTGTCAGCAACGAAAATGAAACCTACAAGGAAATAGCTCGAATGGTGCATAATTGGGCGGAGGACTTTGGCGACCATCTTCAAGTCCCGATTCTTCGGAATCCTTCTGCTCACCGTGAATCACAGCAACACCTGAACAGAGTTACTCAGTGCACGGACGCTAGCGTCCAATCAGCTGTGCGAGGGGAACTATTTAAACACAACCTCATCACTCAGATCAGAACAGACGAGATAGAATTAGGAGGAGGACAGTGTAACTGTGACCACACAGGAAGGTGGAGACAGCCTATTCTCAGAAATACCAATCGTTCTGTCTGTAGGAGCTATCACAAGTGTCGCGGGCGCAATACCAAGAAAATGAGCGTGCGGTTGCGTAGCACACACATAGGCAGTGTTCAGACTTTGCGACGACACGCGCCGACTCGCTGTATCACACAACGACGCGCTGTAGCGCGCTACAAGTGCAGCAGCGCTGTATAGACGCGAACCGCAGACGGAGATGGAACGACGCTGCCCGCTCACGTATTAACAGAGTAGGGGAACCATGGAGTCTGCTAGCGCCCGGCACTCTCCAGTGGGACGGCGTCGA